ACACTATATTGCCAAAAGTATTGGGACACCCCTCCAAATCATTGGCTTCAGGTGTTCCAATCACCTCCATGGCCACAGGTGTATAAAATCAAGCACCTAGGGATACAGACGCTTCTACAAACATTTGTGAAAGAATGGGTCGCTCTCAGGAGCTCGGTGAATTCAAGCACGTTACCGTGATAGGTTGCCACCTGTGCAATAAGTCCATGACATTTCCTTGCTACTAAATATTACACGGTCACCTGTTAGTGGTATTATAATAAAGTGGAAGCAACTGGGAACAACAGCAACTCAGCCACAAAGTGGTAGGCCACGTAAAATGACAGAGCGGGGTCAGCGCATGCTGAAGCGCACAGTGCATAGAAGTCGCCAACTGTCTACAGAGTCAATAGCTACAGACCTCCAAACTTCGTGTGGTCTTCGGATTGGCACAACAACAGTGCGTAGAGAGCTTAATGGAATGGGTTTCTATGGCCGAGCAGCTGCATCCAAGTCTTACATCACCAAGTGCAATGCAAAGCGTCAGATGCAGTGGTGTAAAGCACGCCGCCACTGGACTCTAGAGAAGTGGAGACGTGTTCTCTGGAGTGACCAATCACGCTTCTCTTTCTTTCACTTTGTGGGAACAGTTTGGAGATGGCCCCTTTCTGTTCCATCATGACTGCGCACCAGTGCACAAAGTAAGGTCCATAAAGACATGGATGATACGTTTTGGGTGGGGGAACATGACTGGCCTGCACAAAGTCCTGACCTCAACCCGATAGAACACCTTTGGGATGAATTAGAGCGGAGACTGCGAGCCAGGCCTTCTCCTCCAAACATCCTCCAAACATTCCCCTAGACACACTCCTAAACCTTGTGGACGCCTTCCCAGAAGATTGGAAGCTGTTATAGCTACACACACATTTATTTTTTTGGCTTTATACTCCTTTTTAATAGTTCTGTTTGTAGTAAATTTAGTTGCATTCCTGAAGTTTCTACTGTTTCCACAAGATGGCGATGTTTAGCCAAAGCAAATTTGTAAGGTCCCCATGAGGAATTGAGAGTAGGGAATAGGAAGAAGACTTCAAATGCAACCAAGCTTACCGCAGTATTTCACACGCCAACCATGTACTCCTGTTATTTGTCCTGTAAGCCATTCTTCTGAATATGCTAGTTGCCTGGCTATAATGCTGATCATCTGGATTGAATGTCCCTGAACAATTGTGCAGATGAGGATTGCTCACTGAGCTCTTTAGTGAAATGCTTGTTACTGGTCAAAAGGTGCCCATACACCTTACAATTATCTGCAGATTTTCTATGGTCAGATGGAAAAAGTGCAACAGATTCCTCCATCTATGCTAAGTTGTGTGGATGAAGGAATCTCCCACTGGGCCAAGCTTCAGTATCTTGCTAGTCAGATAGTCAGCCCCACTGTCTGTCACAATACCTGAACAATCTGTTTGGATGCAGGCAGTGTTCAGGGGTTTTGAGAGCCGACTAGCAAGATTACTGAAGCTTTACCCAGTTGGAGATTACTCCATCCACACATTTAAGTGTAGATGGAGGAATCTGTTTCACTTTTTCCATCTGACCACAGAAAATCTGCAGATAATTGTAAGGTGTATGGCCAGCTAAAGACTCCAAGTACTGAAGACGGAGACAACCAATCAATAATTTCAGCAGGTGATCAGAAATGGCACTACGGAAGTTTTTCTAAGATTCAATTGGGATTCAACCACCTGCTGTATCGTATGGTAATAAATAGAGGTGCACCGAAATGGAAATTTTAAAACCGAAACCGAAATTTTAAAAATGTCAGACCGAAACAGAAAATGTTTTTTTTTATTTTTTCAATTTTTTAAAATATTTTATTTTTTATAAACTTTTTAATTTTTTTAATATTTTTATTAAATATTTTTATTTTTTACTTTTAAGGGCTTTGGGGAATTATTAGGAATCTAAACAGACCCCTGATATTTCCCTTTTTTAAAATAGAAAAAGATGATTGAGAACAAAGAGATTGAGTCCTCAATCTCTTTCTGTGTCCCCTGTTATCAATGAACAGGAATCCTCTATGAGTGTTCCTGTTCATTCATAACATGGTTTGTTTACTATAACTACAATTATGAATGAATGGGGGTGATGTAGATCACTCCCATTCATTCATAATTGAGAATATAGTTAACATACCATATCCTCAATTATGTACACACACTCAGCGATCACTGATCACCGACTGCTTGTACCTCGCTCTCCTCTCTGACACGCTGTCACAGGAGGCTGATCGAGCGGTGTAGAGAGGAAAGCCCAGCCTGCTGTGACAGCGCTGTCTCCGCCCCCCACACCGCTCTGCCGGACTGTGATAGGCGGCAGAGTGGTGTGGGAGGAGACGCCGGCCGCTCACAGCGCTCTCGTCCTGCAGCGCTCGGCCGGCTGTCACTTTCTTTTCTCCCCGCTGGGATGCGCGGAAACATGGCTCTTTCGGCATTATGCCAAAAGTGCAATTTTCGGCCGATATGTTTTTCGCGGCCGATATATCGGTGCATCCCTAGTAATAAATATTACCTAGTTTTATCTTTCAGCTCATACCAACTGTCCCTATGACTAGATTATATAGACTTTTTTTTTTTAGTTAATGTGTATTTTCAGTCAAAGTTGCGTTGAAAAGTATACATGGAACACAACCTGCCTGCTCAGGGATTTGGATTGGCCCCTAACCAGATTCATACCTGTCTTTGAAGTGCGACTAAGTGATAAGCATTGGAATAAATGGCCAGCTTCAGGAAGCAGATCCACTAACTCGTATATGAGAAGTTTTGTGAAATCTAGTTTCGGTAGATCACAGAGAATTCAGATTAAAGACAATGGAGTAGATATTAGGAGTTTCAGCAAAATTGCAGTGTTTGCATCGTAGTATTGGAAGCTCACTGACCTGCTTCTTTAATTTCTTGTGTTGTACAATTGTAACAATAAAAATAGATACATAAATACATGACTACAGGATGAATATAGTTAAACGAAGATCACCATCGTGTATTTTGAGTTGGTGCACTCTTTGCATTGTTTGGCCGCAAGTCATTTTTGATGTGACCTTCACATTTCACATGCTTGCTGTTCCTGCTTTCATAATTGTATATTCCATGTACTGTAGATTCTCTTTCCACTGGCAATCTGAATATCAAATGTTGCGTTAGTTACAGTATGTCAGCTGACTTTTCAGACAGACAAACAGTGGATTAGCCACACAGAAACACAATTGTTTAGCCTTTTCAGTTTGCTCAGACTGAGAGAAAAAAGGAGCAGTGAAACGCTAATGATAAATATAGCTGTCCCATGGTAACAAAAACAGAATCATTTTTTTTTAATTAAGCAAATCCTATTCACATATTAATGTTTTTTTTAAAGAAAACAGCGGTTATGTTCCTTTTTGAAGGAGAGACCATTTAGTAATATCTTCAAGTTCCTATTAATAGGATCTGTGACATGATAGCTCTGAACCTTCAAGAACATACTACAGTTATTAGAAAAGTATTATTTACTATAATGGTGCTTATGGTATCACACAATTAAATGGACAAACAAGTGTGAATAGGACCTTGTCTTTTGCAGCTAAATCTGTGATCTGAGACCTACTATGAAACATTTCTGTTGTCTGTTCCTTCCCAATGACTGAGCAATTGTCTGACTCTTATTTTGTTTCTCTGTAGGATCCACGTAAAGAGGCAGCTATGAGTAATGTCCAGATCCTGGAAGCACAGTTAAAAGATGTGAGTATTATTATTATTATACAGGATTTATATAGCGCCAACAATTTGCGCAGCGCTTTACAATATAAGGAAGACATCACAATACAATTCAAGACAAAATGGTAAGGAGGGCTCTGCCCGTGACGGCTTACAATCTAAAAGGGAGGGAGAAGTGATACATGAGGAGGTAGCTGTGTGGGGATGAATTGTTTGAGTATATCGGTTTAGTATTCTTAAAGGAGAACTATGGGGTTGAGGCTTTCCCCCATTGTTCTACTTAGGGTGACGGGAGGACGCTAGTTTGTGTCCTCCCATTACCCTAAGCTCAGTATACCACGAGCTACAGCTCGCGGTATCCTGAGACGCCACAGTATACCGCGAGCAATAGCGGAGTATACTGAGACGCCGCAGCTGAAGCGGATCCCGACAATTATGTCTGGATCCGCCCAGCTGCGTGAGCGACAGAGGCCTCTCTAGAGGCAGAGCCAGCTGTACCCACCCCCTCCCCCATTCGATCCGCCAGTCAGCGCTGGCAGATCGGAGGGGAGAATCCAGCCCCTCCCCTGTCACGGCAGAGGACTGTGACAGGATCGAGAGGTGAGCGAACGCCGGTATGTGTTCGCTCACCTCCCGATCTACTGAGCCGACCTGTGACAGTCTCATTGTCACAGGTCGGCTAGAACTATTAGGTGAGTGAAAAGCGTGATGGAAAAAATAAACCGTTTTGAAAGTATATTTTTAAATTCTTTATTTCTAAAGACATCTAAACCATCCCAGATGTGATTGTCACCTGTCCCTACTTCCCGTGTGGTGAAATGTAACGGCTACGCTAAATTGCAGCAATCAATATCTGTAAAAAATAAGTCAAGGCAAATGGACTTACTGTATTTTGCTTGAAGACGTTTCACTGGTCATCCAACCAATCCAGTTCCCTTGACTTATTTTGTACGGATATACCAGGACCTGGATGAATGAGTACCTTCACAAACATGCAGCAATCAATGATTACAAGACTCTATCTGGGAATGAGACAAACAAAGTTCACTTGATGTTCAAATATTGCTTTCCTAGCTGTTTTCAGCCCAAGCTGGGAAGGTTTAACTGTTTGTTTTATGCTCCCATTTTACTGCATTTCTATTGGACAAAACTTTTCTTAGACTTTACCTGACATAAGAGTTGGGCTTCATCACTTGTTTGCTCCTAAAGAGCCTTCCTATGTAATAAGGACATAATGCTGTCCAGTGCTCTTGTGTTAAACCTATTTCCACATGTTACAGGGAGAAATTATTTCATAACTGAATACCAGGCTAAGCCTGGAGCTATTCAGTATGTGTGGCTATAAATTCTGTCCCTGCGGACTGCTTTTAGGTGCTCCAAAAACTGAAGAGTGCTTGCAGTATTCAACTGTCTTGTCTCCAGCAATAGCTCTGAAATGCCATCTGCTGATTGTTGAGGCCAGGCATTGCTTTGTGGAATGAGAAGTTATATTTTTCATCCTGCCACTACATGGGTTTCAGAGGCTCCTGGGGTGGTCTTTCATGATGGCTTGTTGGATCACACCAAACTTAACCCGGCAGTGCCTGGTTTTAATTGTGAGGTTTTTTTGTTATATATATATATATATATTTTCCTGTTAACTCTGACAAGCGTACTTCAAAGGGCAAAAAGGTAAGTTATGATGTACTAGCAAAGTGTGCCGTTTCCAAGAACTGCTAAGGGCTCATTTCAGACGGGCATCCACGTTCGTACGGGGTACATGGCCAATAAAAGACCCGATCCCAGAATGAAAGGGTGCTGCGTATAATTGCATGCAGCAGCCTGTTCTTCCCTATGGAAGGACGCGGCTGCACACAATTATACGCAATCACACGCACATCTAAACCTGCACATCTGTGTGATTCCAGGTGCCTGCGCACTGTCTGCGTCCAAGTGCAGGCACCCATTCCCGCATGGTTGTGCAAGTTCGGGTGCGTCTGTGATTGCGTGCAGCCATGCTCACCCATAGGGAAGAATAGGCTGATGCGCGCAATTATAAGCATTATCCTTCTGGGATAGAGTCCTTTTACAGGTATTCACGCATGTCTGAATGAGCCCTTATTCAGAATGGTGTGTTTAAGTGCAAATTAAATTGAATATGTGCCTGATGTAGTGTTTTATACAATGTAAAAAATTTTTATAGTAAGACTTCAGAAACTCCAGGGTTGACCATACAGATAAGGTAGCATGGCCATATTGGATGCAACATAAGCTTCAGCAATGAGGCCATGTTAGCACTCGGCTCTTCAAAGATAATTGTATGAGTTTGGCAGGCACACGGTGGTTGTTTCTCCCTATATTTTCGAAGTTCCATGCGCATAGCCCCACATACGTGTATCACATGACGCCACCAACCTATTTAACTTTGCGTTCTTAATGCATTGTATGATTTGTGTTAACCATCTCCATATTTACAGGCACTAGATGACAATGTTGTTATAGACTTGTATTATGGCCTATGGATGGGATGGAGTAATGTAATAGGTTTGTCAGAGACTTTCATTCAACAGACAGCTTGACATTAGGTACGATGAGTCAGATTCCATATTCCTCCTAGCCAGTGATGTTTATCATCAAGGTGATCTCTTTTTATTTTTTTCATCCATATACCTCAAAATACATCTCCCCAGTCCAGTTTCTGTTATAAATAAACTGCTTATATTTACATTTCCCTGTATTTTCAGGCTCTAGAGAAGAACCAGCAGTGGTTGGTTTATGACCAGCAACGCGAGGCCTATGTCCAAGGACTGATGTCTCGAATTTTCGATCTGGAACAGCAGGTGGCCAGCACCAAACAAAACAAAGAGCAGACAAAGGAGATCAGCTGTGATGGTGCAGTGCATTATTTCTGGATGTATTACTAAAACAAAATGTAGCAGTTATAAAGCGAGAATGTCAAATTAGCTATTTTTGGGCTCACTTATTCTTTCCATACAGCTCTTAAAGAACTCTGGGGAAAATGTTTATTAACCCTTGCATTCAGGGGGGGCATGGAAGCAGTTCAACAATTGATGGAGAATGATTTACCAAATTGTTCTGTTCTCTAAGGCTACACTCCAATATATAATTTCTGCAAGCTGCAATACACATAAATATTAATAACCGTGTGTATGATTGGTTTGGTTTTTTTGTTTTTTCCCCTCGGGTTTACACTGCCTTTATTATGACTATTTTAATCCTCTATAAAAATTATTCTGTTGTATTTGGCACTCTCTTATACTTAGGCCTGGTTCACACCTGAACGTTTTGTAGCGCGTTCAACGCTCGACGAACGCTCTACAAAACGCTCAAACATCTAAATCCCATTGTATTCAATGGGTCTGTTTCACACCTTGCCGTATTTCCGCCCGTCCGAACGCGATACAAAATGGCCTACGCCCAAAGAAGTACATGTACTTCTTTGGGGCGTTTTGGTCTCGCGTTTTCATTGGGATACAGACAAGTAGCCCTCGGAAACAGGCGTTTGTCGCGCGTTTTTTACCGCGAATCGCTGTAAAAACGCGTGACGCGAAACGCGCATATTCAATACGCCTAGGTGTGAACCCAGCCTTAAGGTGGACGTGCCTGTTTTTAAAATCTAGTGGCTCATTGACCATTTTGTCCTATTTATATTACACATCCCTAAGAATTAGCGGAGATTATTTATTACATTAGTTAGCCTACAACTGACACAACTTCATCAGTCTTGCTAAACAGTTTCAATCAGGCCCCAGTACCTGACCGAAAATTGTGAGAGCTTGTTTGCGTGCTGTTTAGCTCTCTATTGGTCATTGCTAACTTTGTTGAAATGTGCAGATTTCGGCTCTGTTATCATGATCCTGGTTTCACTATCTTGACATTCAGTAACCTGGAATATACAGTATGTGTGGCCAGTGAAGTCTGTACTCCTGTACTGCATTCTTGTCCCAGTCAGTGGCTCTCAAGATGGTGTGGCCAAGTTGAGGAGGACATCCTCGGAGCAACCACCTTTGTATAACATCGGAAGCTCCCATATTAGTCTGTTTATATTTCAGAGCTTTACACTGGCATGATACCCTGATGACGGGTTACTAGCACATCTAGTTGTACATTACATCAGCAACTTTTTATTCATTTAAAAAAAATAATTTTTGATGTTTAAAAAACTTCAAAAGGAGCACTCAACAGCTTATTGGAGCACAACATGCTAGGGCCACAGACGGCCCCCGTTCAGTGAGCTGCCAGGAAATGTTTCCTAGCTTTAAAGGAGAACTATGAGGTGAGTGCTTTTCACTCACCTCATAGTTCTAGCCGACCTGTGACAATGAGACTGTCACAGGTCGGCTCAGTAGATCGGGAGGTGAACGAACACATACCGGCGTTCGCTCACCTCTCGATCCTGTCACGGCTCTCTGGCGGGACAGGGGAGGGGCTGGATTCCCTGCTCTGATCCGCCAGCGCTGACTGGCCGGACGGGGGAGGGGGCGGGTACAGCTGGCTCTGCCTCTACATAGGCAGAGCCAGCTGTCAGTCACGCAGCTGGGCGGATCCCGGCACAATTGTCGGGATCCGCTTCAGCTGCGGCGTCTCAGTATACCGCAAGCTACAGCTCGCGGTATACTGAGCCTAGGGTGACGGGAGGACGCTAGTTTGTGTCCTCCTGTTACCCTAAGAAGAACTATGGGGAAAAGCCTTAACCCCATAGTTCTCCTTTAACTCTAAAACATCTGTATAAATATTTTGTTTTCTCTACCACTGGCAGCAAGAACCATCATTCTGCCTTCATACAGTGTTATTCCATCCAAAAGATATTGGTTTTAGATCCTCTACCAGGTTTATAATGCTGTCCCCACTGAGTGGTCACCAGGACAGGAAAAAAGTGAAAATACTCATACAAAATGTAAAAGTAGTTTTTTGTTTTTTAGTACACTCATTAAGGGTTCTGTCAACTTCTGTCATATTTTTGTGGTGTGCCCATTGGTGTCTTCCAACATGGGCACTCCACAAGCAATAAAAACGCTGTAATAAATATTCTGTCTGTAAAATCTTTTTGTCCTCTTTAGCTAAAGAAGATGATAAACAGAAATATTATGACCGGCTTCTTATCGCTGCCAAAAAAGATCTTGAAGGTGAGCGTCAGATCACAGGACAGTTAAATTCAGAACTTGCTGAAATGAGACTGAACCTTAATGAGAAGAAGAAAGAGGCAGCAGACTTGTCAATCGCCTTGAAATCCCTGAGTGAGACCGAGTGGCAGCAACGGGATGATGACCGTAGACATCTAAAGGACAAGATGCAGAGGCTGAGGAGAGAACTGGATGTGTATCGGGAAATGTATGAAGAGGAGAGGAGAAAAAACTCTGACCTGACTTCTCAGGTATACAGACCTTTTACATTTACACTTCACATTCTAGTTGGAAAAAGCAAAGGGATGCTGGATGTTTTAAATCTGAGCCTTTGTTTCTAACTTTACATCTCCTCAGTGCAGTCAATCTCTGTGCAGTCAGGTAACTGTATAGAGAGCCAATATATGTGGGTAGTTGATGCTTTATGATGAGGTTTATTTTGGCCAACATGGCTCCTGTCCTGGTAAAGCATTGGCACTTGCAGTAGGGGGTTCATAGATAAAGAAAAAGTAAGTAATTCCCACCACCTATTCATCAAACTTCTGTAACTAATCCGCATAACTGATACTAGTCACTACCCAGCTCTCTGATGGCCTGGCAGGTTTGCTTCTTTAGTACTCCTTTTGTTCTGGTACATTTTGGTGCATGTGTCAAGTTGAAAACGGGGTCAAACAATATAAAATAATGCTGCCAGATGGTAGTCTTCTTTACACACCCTCTTCTTACCTGTTTAGTGAAAATGAGCTTAGCAAGCAGCCAGAACCACCCTGATTTTATATTGTAGCAGCTCCAGGTATAACTGTGTTTGCACATTGCATCACCCTGTATTTTGCTATTTAACTTTGCTTTATGTGTTACGTACGCCCAGTTGTTATTCACTCTATTCCTGTAACATGCGATTTTTTTTATTTTATTTTATTTTCTGTAACCACATTTTATTCATGATAAAGAACTTTACTTTTATAACACATTAACTCTTGAATATATCCAGATACAACAAGTAACTGCAAATATAACCGAATGTCTTGAAATAGACAGGGTTAGGCTACAATTATGTAGGAGCTGCCTGCTTCTAGCAGTTTGTGATCTTTTTTGCCATTTATTACATGATTGCAGTGCAGTATGGAACTCACTGTTATACATTGAAATATTTCGGTGTTCAACAGATTTCCTTTTATTCTCATTTCTGATTTGCAGGCAAGTTGCCATCTACACTGCACAGTGCAAACTGTAAACAGAGTATCAACATAAAGATGTTAAAGTCCAACACTGTGCTAAATACATTTTACAGGTGGATCAAAACAAAATGTATTGTTTTACAGTTGGTTTTGTTTCTTAAAGGAGAACTATGAGGTGAGTGAAAATCACTCAGCCTCATAGTTCGAGCCGACCTATGACAATGAAACTGTCATACGTCGGCTCAATAGATCGGGAAGTGAGCAAACACAGCTGGGTGGATCTCCACAGCATTGTTGGGATCCGTCCCGGCTGCGGCGGTCTCAGTATACCGCGAGCTGTAGCTTGCCATATACTGAGCTTTGGGTCAAGGGAGTATATGTCCTCCTGTGACCCTTCAGAGAACTATGGGGAAAAACACTTACCCCATAGTTCTCTTTTAAGCAGCCACAGCCTGAGTAGAAAAGCCTCTCTCCTGTCAGCATGCTGTAGAATGGGGCCCTTGCTCTTTGTGGGGAAGCCCCCTACTGAGTCAGACCTAGATTTCTGCAATCAGAAAAGCTCATGCTCTCTGCTGATTGGATAGCTCTGGCTGGAGGAAGCGGGTGTCTGAGTTCTGTAACGCGCAGATGTGTTCATTTTCAAAAGTGGCCAGATCTCTTACAGAAAATAAATCTGTCCCTCACTTAATGTAAAAATAAATAAAGCAACAGATTAGCAACTGCATACAATAAAGCAATTTTGATAAATGTTCCCTTATTGTAAGTTAGGTGCTATGACAGAGCTGGTGATAGCAGCAGGGATGTGTGTAATTGTTAAATTGTTGCATTTATCTCATCTCCTCGGCTTTGGCTCACTGTAAAAATGGGCAGCAAATTAATAATTCATTATCTTTGTATTATTTGACTGAAGTGAGATTTAACAGTAATTTATTACTGCTTCCTAGATTGAGATGATGGAGAACTCACTGCTGAGACAGCAAGAGGACCAGCTGACGGTTGCCGCTTTGGAGCAGCAGGTTGGAAGATGCACTTTTCTGCTTCTCTGTAAAATTTCCATTTGGGTTCATTGCATTCTACAAACAAAATTGAAACGTTTAAAACTGATGTTTTGCTGTCAGTCTCTGTCTGTCTGACGAAATAAAATATATATATTTTACACACACCACACACACACCAGGGCTGGACCAATCCCAGGAGCTAGGTAGCCAATGGTGCCTAACCTGTGAGGTTTTCTCTAGCTGCTGGCAATAAAGCGGGATCCTACAAAAAAATCCTATTGGCTTTTGAATTTGCATATTAATCTGTCCGGCTATATACACACATTTTTAAATAACTTTGGCTAGTCTCGAGTCGGCACAGCAAGTTGTTTCCTCCATCTTTTATTTAAGCCACGAGAGAGGAGTCACTGTTGTAACTCATCCGCTTGTGTATGTACATTTTAGTCTGAGCTATTGAGCACTGTAGACAGGATTTGTACATTGGGTAAGGAGAAACTGGAAAACATGCAAAAAGAAGCATAGAGCCCTACCATCTGGGGATACATAGGTATGCATTTGCAATTGTTCATACTTATCTGACTAAAGTTGTGTGTGTGTGTTTGCGCCTTAGCGCCTTAATGTGGCAACAGTAATCCAGCTGTTGAGACAGCACATTTTAAAGCCCTTTTGTTTCTTACTTTATCATAAAAGTTTTGCCTGGAGTTCAGCTTGACATCTGCTTACTTTCAGATAGCTGGACCTTCATTCTCTAGTGAGTTTATTTATTTACATAGATGCTTAATGTGTTTCAGAACAGGTGCTTTCTATTTACTTAAATATACTGGATTCATTTGTTGCTTGGTGCCTGTAAATGTGTGTCCATAGACCCCATTTTGTATATTTACGTAAAGGGAGAAATTAGAAGAAATAAACACTTTTATGAATAGCATTATTACCGAGGATGGTTTATCAGATTGCTTTGCTGTTTCTTGTGTGATTTAGATCCAGAAGTGCACCTCTGACTTGGAAAATGAGAAGATTGACAGGCATAATGTTCAGCACCAGCTTTATAAAGTTCTAAAGGAACTGCGTAAAACCCAGGAACAGATAACAAAGCTGGAGCCGGGGGTAAGCCTAGATTCTCAAGCAGCACAAACATATTTTATATTCCTATTTATCATATCGATAGAGCTGAAATGTACAGACTCACTAGACTGGTCTGCAGTGTTGCCTTTGTTTTATCACTATACCTATCATTGAGCTTCAGCAGAAATATGGTTTTGCCGCATTTACTGAGAGATCTGTAAAGCCCTTACTAGAACATTTAATTAGTAAACTTACACTGAAATATATGTGCATTTATATGGCTTTAGCAGATTTAAAGTCACAAGTTTTTTTTTTGCCCCACCCAATGTTAGTGTCAGGACATACCTTAAATGATGCCTCTTTATTCGATCATCTTCTTCCTTACTGTCCTTTTCAGCTGGTGCGGGTCTCCAATCCAGCGCTGACTCCTCTGTCCTCCTTCTCTGATGTCCCACGGTGTCTGTGCGGGTGCACGCTGCTCCGTAGACTTACCTTGTGTCTCTCCCCGTCTCCCAGCCGAACATCTGAACTGCGCATGCGCCCGCCCCACAGTCCTTTGCGGCCGCCCGAGACTCATAAGATGTTCGGACAGGAGTGTGCGGCGAAGGCACAGGTAAGTTTAAACGTGTTTTCAAAAGGTGTTTTTTTTTTTTTGCATATATCTACTGCTTGCTAGCAGCAGGTTTATGCAAAAAAACAAAACATGAGGGTTTAATAACCCTTTAATGTAACTCCATTGATAAAATAAATGTTGAAATAGTGTTTCCTTCAAATAGGGCATTTAAAGGAGAACTATGACATGAGTGATTTCCACTCACGTCATAGTTCTAAGCCGACCTGTGACAATGAGACTGTCACAGGTCAGCTCAGTAGATCGGGAGGTGAGGGAAAACATACCGGGTTCCCTCACCTCTCGATCCTGTCACGGCTCTCTGCCGTGACAGGGGGAGGGGCTGGATTCCCCTCTCCCCGCTCCGATCTGCCAGCGCTGACTGGCGGAACGGACGGGGGAGGGGGCGGGTACAGCTGGCTCTGCCTCTAGATAGGCAGAGCCAGCTGTCACTCACGCAGCTGGGCGGATCCCGTCATCTAAGTCGGGATCCGCTCCAGGTGCAGCGTCTCAGTATACCGCGAGCTGTAGCTCGCGGTATACTGAGCTTAGGGTGACGGGAGGACGCTAGTTTGTGTCCTCCTGTTACCCCAAGGAGAACTATGGGGAAAAACACTGACCCCATAGTTCTCCTTTAATGCTTTTCCAATGCTGCCGGTTTTTTGCTGTAGCAAAGAGAAACTGCTGGCTAAATCTCCAGAATCTTGACAGTTTGTTGTTTTCCTGGTCTACCTGCTGCGTGCTGTAGTTCCTTCCACTGACTACTGTGTTACTACAGACCAGAGTTGTGATGTAGGACCTGGTGGATTGAACCACTGAGCCCGGGGAGGCACCAGGAATCCGACGCTTCCAGTGTCTGATTCTTCAGCCGTCAGTTTCTCTTCACTACAGCAAAGATCTGTGTTGTTGGTGGCAGCAGGGGTGCGTATTAAAGGATAAGTGCACTTTTAGACCATTTATCTATTATGATGGAGTTAGAGGAGAATTATGAGGCGAGTGATTTTCAGTCAGCCTCATAATCTGAGCTGACCTGTGACAATGAAACTGTCACAGGTTGGCTCAGTAGATCGGGAAGTGAGCAAACGCATACCGGCGCTCGCTCACTTCTCGATCTATCCGTGCTGAGAGCCGTGACTGTCACTCAAGGCTCCCTGCAGGGATTCCCCCCCTCCCCTGTCCGATCCTCCAGCGCTGACTGGTGGAACGGACGGGGCTGGTACAGCTGGCTCTGCCTCTAGCTAGGCAGAGCCAGATGTCACACACGCAGCTGTGTGGATCCAGAAAGAATTGTCGGGATCCGTCCCAGCTGTGGCGTCTCAGTATACCGTGAGCTGCAGCTCACGGTATACTGAGCTTTGGGTGACGGGAGGACGCTAGTTTGTGTCCTCCCGTTACCCTTACGAGAACAATGGGGAAAAGCCCTAACCCCACTAGTTCTTTTTTTTAATGTCTAATTGTTGACTGTAATGGACAGCAAACATGAGCTAGCCTTGTAACCTGTAGTATCCCGAGTCCTCATTTCATCTTTCTGGTTACTTTGGACACTACAGAACATTCCTTTTAAAGATGTGCAGCCCAACATGACCTCTGTCCACAGGATTAAAACTTTAACAGGACATTACTTAGCAGAAGAAATCCACAAATCTTTTCATCTGTATTTATAATTTTGATCTCTCACAGAAACGTGACATTTATTTTGTCGATTCCTCTGCCAATTTCATGTCCGAGTTTGATGATAAACTGTCCATGCGAGAGAAATACCCGTCTCCAAAACCCAAAAATCTACTTGATGAAAGTTTCCTAACGTGTCCACGGTGTCAAGCCATGTACCCCACCAGCCAGCACCGCGAACTCCTTGCCCACGTTGACATCTGCACCAGCTGAGGAACTGACCTGATGCTTTCTAGAGCTGTCAAAGGGGGTTTGTTGCATTACACTCCACTTTTTTTCTGTTTTTTTTATTTTTTATACAAGCATTTTAACGATAATATGTGCATTTTGTTTTTTGGTATGTATTTACTAAGGTCATTAAATACTGTTTCTATCCATCTAAATGTTATGCCGATAAACAAACCAATATTAGTCCACAAAACTAAAATGTGGCAAGCCACAGAACTTGTACACATTCAGTTGTTTGTGATATTACTTGTTGTGTCTTATTACAACTAGAGACTTATTGAACTGACTCTTTATTTAACAGGACTTTATTCCTATTTCACACATATGTGTATTTGGGTGGATATGAATTACAATTGTGAAATTGGATTAAAGGTCTGTGAAATATTAGCCAGCTGGAGGAAGTGTCATGTGTAAATAGCATTTCTGTTGCCCATTCCACTATTGTGACACCTTTTGGATTTCGGCAGTAAAGCAGCTGCAAGTATATTAAGGAGTGGCATTGGCATCCCTGCTGAACTGCTGAGAGAAATTCATTTACTGCATAAGCCGGCTGTGGATGTAAGAGGGCAGTCGGGTGTGCAAGCACGGGTTGACCGATAGAAGATCTTTATCAGGGATATTTATTTTTAAATATGCTTAGGTCACCTGCATTCGCACATTTAGGCCTCATTCACACGAGAAAAAGCCGGCACGTACCGCTCCTTGTTGCGGGAAGGACAGGTGCTGCCTGTGATTAGTCACACGCAGCCCCTGTCCTTTTCTATGCGAGTACGTGTCCATACGCCGGCCTACGCTCACCCTCCCTGTACGTCCGTGCAGGTGTCTGTACTCATACGTTGACAGGATGGATCCTGCCTGCGTCCGAGCCGGGACACCCGCACCCGTACGGACCTGCACTTGGGGTGAGTGTAGGGAGGCCTATGGCCGCGTACTCCCATAGAGAAGGACAGGAGCTGCGTTCTAATCACACACACCACTTTCCTGGGAGCTGCCCCATACGGCCGTACACGCAGCACAGAGCTGTACCTGCTGGCCTTTTCTCGTGTGAATGAGGCCTAATGGTTATGGTGGAGGATAACTGTAAGACATCACTGCTGTCAGGCTTATCTAAGTGAATACAATGATGTGGAGCCAAAAATATCCAACATGCTTAAATGTTCCCTGAGTCTGGCGGGCCTGGGATGTGTGCAGAAGTGCACTAGTGCCCATAGTCATGAGTCATTGGCCAATCTTGCTTACAATAATCTCATGCCAATGTGTTCTTAGAATATGATTTTTGTTAAAGTAAAAGTTCACTCTACAATTATTCAATGACCATTACACAGACATGTTACACAAGCACATTGATCAATGGATAGCACCATATTTGACCTCTGTCTGCATCGGGGATGTCCAGTAATCAGCATTGGAAACTGAGCTTGACTGGGAAATGCTTCCTCTGTGCCATGATGCTGTCAAAGACCTAGATAGCACGAGGGGGGCTGAGTGACACCATGAGTTGTATGGTGCTGCTGGTAATAGCCGTCAGTTTCCAACGCTGATTGCTGGACAACCACAGTGCGGAAAGAAGTCAAACATGGTGCTGTATTTATCAAGGTACATGTGTTATATGGCTGCTTAATGTTCATAGAGTAGTTCTAGGGTGACCTTCCACTTAAATCATTCTCTAAGAACGCATTCACGTGAGACAGTTGTCAGCCAGACTGTCCAATGTTTCTCATGCAGAAGGAAAGACTTGTACTGAAGAAATAGTAGAATTTCAGTCTGAGTATATAATGAACATATTAGACACCATGTACATAAATATTTCCAAGCTTTAAAGAGAAACAAGATTTATAAAACATTAGCACACTTTAAGTGTGAAAAAAAACATTTGAGGAGCAGGGAATCTATAGATATCTTCAATTTGTCCTTGGTCTAGAGATAAGTTATCAATTCTTCTTTCTTATATTATTATATTGGAGAACTGACAGGCCCTGAAGCTGCATTCATTTGGATAAAGTTATCAGGGTTATAAAGTCACTATGATTATTTGTTAATGTAAAGCGTAAATGATTGTGTTCTTGCCGTGCACTGATTTTTAAAAAGACCTCCACTCGGGTGGATGATTCTGATGTAGTAATGTCACTTACTGTATGATCTGCTCTTCTAACCCTTGAAAGGTCATTGCTGTTGCTTTGTTTGCATGTTGGGCATTTTTTATATTGCTTTTTTTCAACAGAGTGCAGTAGCCTGCAGCAACCAATTAGAATTCACTGTGCTCATGTCAGACCAGTACAAGACTGGTTCTAATTGGTTGCTCTGGGTAACTTCACTTTGGATTCTTTTTATCAAGTAGGACCTATAGACTTGAATTTGATTTGACAATTAAAGCTGAGGTTTACAACTGCATAGCAGCAGCATAAGCAGCACTCCTACCAACCCTGAAATCTTCATTTCCCCTGCGCCTGACTCTCTCTGCCTTTTTGGGGTATTGTACTTGCATGTTTTCTAGTTGCAGCTCATCCACTGGAGCTCTCATTCTCTACCTAATATAGGCAGTCGTACTACAAGTGTCTGTATGGTTGTCTAGCTAATTTTTGGCATGAAGCAGTGGCATCTAAAAGGTAGGGAAGTATAATAAGCAAATACTATTCTGGGATGGATCTCTGTGGGATAGTGTGGCGTCTTTTGCCTCCCACATGTAGAATAAGCAGGAGGTAGACTATCGCCAGGAATTACTGTTACAAGAATTGAATAATATTAAAGTGAACGTGACTTAGACTGAAAAGTGTCGGCGGCACCAACAGTGTTCACACTTGGTGGTACCTGCTGAAACCAGCATTATTCTTGAAACGAATCCCTGTAGAGCCCCCTGGATCATAGTTCCAGGCTCTACACAGGGCCCAAAATAGATTTGAGATAAAATGATAGTGGAACTATAGGTCAAAATACAATAGAACATCTATAATGCAGTCTGTCAATGGCATTTACACAGCAAGCTTTGTTTTTTTAACTACCCCCCCCC